ACGAGGGTTGTCGATGAGCAAGGAGTTGGCAGACTCGTCTATAACAAAGGACGAGCGCGTTAGTTTACGATTTATGAAGATAAAAGATAAATACGAACTTTGACGAGACTGAAGATCTGCTAAACCACTAATAAAGGGCGGTTCAGTACGAGGGCGTTTGTCGCCAGCGCAACTGCCTTTGGCATGCTCGACGACGAGGGCCTTGTGAAATTCGCGACTGTTAGTGTCCATGCCTGGAACAGCGTCGTAGGGAATGCTGACCGTTTCGGCACGCTTGGATTTGGCTGGGGTCTGTTATGACCGAATAGAATATGAAGTTAACAACGTGGCAGTGGACTCACGCAATAATAGCAGCTTACCTTGGGACCAGAGGCAGCGCGCTTCTTGCCTTTCTCTTTGGGAGAGGAAGCGGCGTCCTTGACTTCTTCGTCACCAAAGAGGTTGTCCACTGCCATCTGAGCAAAGCGGTACGCAATGTTAAAATTGTGTTCTGCTCAAAAGAAAATAAAAAATAATGCACGGTGTCAGCTGCAGTGATAGCGTTGGGGCCATCACACCCACCCATCATAACGTCGGTATCCGAGGGGCCGGGGACAATCTCGACCTCGTCATCCTTGTCCTCAACAACAGCCTTGGACTTGACAAGCTTGCGGGGACGCTGTTTCAAAATGTATCCGCGCTGCGTTAATAAAATGAGAAAAGATGAACAAAATAAGTATAAACGTGCCTTGGCTTTAGCGGCGGCCATTACCTCTGCAATCTCAGCCTGAGCCTGAGCTTGAGCAGTAACAGGTGGTGGAACGACCTGCGCAGCGGCGCGCGCGGCGAGAACGGCGCGACAATATTCTTTGATAGTGTCGAGGTCGGCTGGGGGCGCGATGGCGTGAACTCCAGTGCTGCGGGTATTGTACTCGCCTCTAACAAGGAAAAGCACGTTGTGCATTGGCTGGTGCATAAGCAGACACGGATCCTTGGTGTCGATAAGCTGAACCTAGTCAAGTGCGCAGTATTAGCCTTTGTTCGAAGAAATAGAGAATACGAAGTTTATAACAGAAAAATTCGCGACTTACACAGTAATTAGCGGCTACGC